TTTTTAAGAGAAAATGAGTCTTTGGTTTGTTAATGTGATGAAATAGTAAGGATTCATTAGAAAGGACCTCCATTTTCTGATGTCCTTTCAGCGTGCATTATTTTGAATTTCACAGCATCACTCAGAGAAAGTCGATTCTTTGCCCACTTTCAAGAAGGGTTCCACCCTCACCTTCTCACCCTCCTAAGCATGTCCTGCATTCCACCGTTTGCACGCAGTTTGTATGTCCTCAGTTCCGCGCAACCCCCGCTGGACGGGGTCGGGTTCTGTTCTGAAGTTGCAGCCCATTTGGTGGAAGGCCAAGCCGTACATTGCAGGTACTGGTAGTTCTATACTCTGTATGCTGTGTCTGCATGCCTGCATTGCGCATGCCCGGTCTCTTGCTGCATTTACTTTCACTGTGTCCAGGTTTTGTGCTTCTAACATAGACGTTTCTGGTGGTTAGGAAATGATAAGTAAAGTGTGTGTGTGTGTGTGTGTGTGTGTGTGTGTGTGTGTGTGTGTGTGGGGGGGGGGGGAGAGTGGAGGGGGGGNCCTCTGACGTACCTGCGACAGTAACTGAAATTTTTTTATGCCTTGTTCCTCTACAATTGCTAAGTGTCCAAAATTTCGACTTTTACAAAAACGCCTATATCTGACAGTATGTGACATCTGTTGACAGTTATCTCAAGTACGTAGTGAATTAATATTCGAATGTCATTTCTCCCTGCATACGAAGTAATTCGACATAAAAGGGGCAAAGTTGTCCCTGTAACAGACCGTGGAGGCCCATAGGGATGTGAGACGTCGAGGCTCCCACATTTTATAGACAGTCGGCTCACAGATGGCGGTGAGGTTGTCAACCTTACGCGCCGGACGTCCTTTTCCCCCAGGAAAATTCCTGGTACTCATTTCTGTTAGAGGCTGAGTCGACCCCAGGACCATAGTGTGGCTCGAAGGATTAGGTAAATTGAAAAATCCAGTGATCTCATCGGGACTTGAACCCGCGACCTTCCGGCTTGTAGCACAGTGTTTCAACCAAACTACGCTACCTCGTGGGCCCAAGAACTTCTTAGTGTATTTTATTTATTATTTACTCACTAAAAGAAACTGCCCATGAAGACCTCAAACGCCGTCTTGACACTGAGTAAACTAAAGCTCTCTCTCAGTTCTAGGCCAAATACACCGAGTGTCGGTCGGTAAAGACGGACGGTACACGTATTCTGCAATTTTACTTTATCTGCTGGTAATTCTTTCTCGTTTGGGTGAAATACACCGACTTTCCCACATCAAACGTTCAGAACTAGATGTAGGAATGGCACGAATTGCTTTGGGTCATGACAGCTGATAAAATATATCCAGCGTTTCGGAGATGGCTACAAACCAGAAGGTCGTGGGTTCAATTCCGAATGAGATCATTGGATTATTTTTTTCAATTTACCTGATCCTTCCAGCCGCACTATGGTTCTGGGGTCTACTCAGCCTCTAACAGAAATAAGTACCTGGAATCTTCCTGGGGGTAAAGGACGGCCGGCTCGTAAGGCTGACATCACCGCCGACTGTCAGCCGATTGTCTAGATCAGGCATGTCCAACTTCAAACACGTTGTGAGAAAACTGCCAGTGATCTACTACCCCCTCCTATCGTCGTACCTCACTTTAAGCAAAAATATTGATACAAATAACACGACACATGATGTTTGTTGTAAAAGCAACATATACGTACATTGAAAGTACAGTCTACTTTAACACGTATTCTCCCTTCAAAATCTGAATGTAATCATATTATATTACAAGTGAATTTACATGCTTTTCACGTATAATTTCATTGTAGACCTATGAGATGGACCAAAAAACGTCCCGCGATCGACACGTTGAACATGCCTGGTCTAGATAATATGGGACCCTCGACGTCTCACAACCCTATGGGCCTCCACGGCTTGTTACAGGGAGAGCTTTGACTTTACCTTACCTCCTTACGGCCCGTTAGATGAATTTGATCGTTATAACAAGAAGGACGGTTCCTTCTTGTAATTGAAAATGTAGAGAGACTGCCTCCGAAATACAAAAGACAATTGTGTATGTCCAAGGAACCTGTTCCACAATGAACCCCGTTACGCGCAACCTCTCCAGGGTTTCTTGTAGCTAGGCTTTTGAAGTCTGTCCAATGTTTCGGCACACTTACATAACGTAGTTGGCCGTCAAAAAATTAATTTCCTGGAACGACGACTATACGTGACGCGACCAGCTGCGTAACTTCAACTACAAATTATTAATTAATTGCTGAAATAATCGGCATGTTGACGTAGAAGATTTCGTTGGCAGGCAGGTCCAGTCATGTCGTAAGCGAAGCACTGGCGTGTGAGTTCTCGGAACCCCGTGTTCTGTTGCGACACAAACTCAGAACCAGGAGCCCCCCCCCTTTTCGAAATGCCACCTCGCCTCACATCCAAGAAGCGTCAACGAGTTCCCTTTCTTCAGGATGGGCCCTCTCTCGAATCTCGACTGTTCTGTAAGTGAAAACTGAATGGATTTGTCATATTGCACGAGCTGAACGACAGGAGAATCGGGGTTCGATTCCCCACAGGTTAACATCTTTTTTCTCTCCTCGACAGCGTCCAGACCAACCCTGGAGCCCACCCTATGGGTACTTAGGCTCCTTTCACGGGTCTAAATAGGCCGGAGCGTGAAACTGGCCACTCGCCGAGATTATGAACGTGTGGAGCAATGCCCCCACGCCTCCATGCTTCTTCGTGGCGTGGTGATGACAGCTTTATCTTCTTTCTGTTACTAAAGATGTTAAGTTGTTCCGGTACTTAATCAAGCACCACACGATGAAGACTTCGGCCCTAGACGGACGTGAATTTGAAGGATGAGAGATGGATTGAACTGGCTCAGGCCTGTAACCGTGTGCTTTGGTACTGACATGTTGGACATTCCGATTGGCTGCTTGAGTTTCTTGGACGTGCTGTGTATACACATGACTTGGCTTTATAATGAATGCACCTGTGCACCGACAGAGCACAGCAGTTTCACAGCGGTTCTCAAACAGTGGTTACCCTGAGTAATAACAGACCTCATTACTAATTTGTTCTTGTGAGGTTTAGCAGCTTGCGTTGTGCTCAGCAGAAGGTGAGTACCCGAAATAGTTTAATATTAATAATTTTTTTTAGTTAAGTTATGCGTTCTCACTGCCCCTGGTTCGAGAACCGCTGTGTTCAGTCGCCAAGAACGGATGCGTATATACAGAGGTGTGCGCCGGGTTGCGTGAGTGAAGGGGGTAGTTCTAAACAGAACAACGCCAAGTTATTAGAATGAGACAGAATAGCCGAATGTGTGACCGACAAGTGCCAGGCATCTGGAAATCTAGTGGAAGAGCATAGCAGGAAACTGAGACCGGCTTATCCCTATCAGTACGAGAGCTCGCTGAAACCATCAGACCACTAGGGAGATCATGTCCAATGCAAAATCTGCTAATATTTCACTGCGCATAATAATAATAATAATAATATTATTATTACTGAAATCAGGAGGGTTGCCATTATACTGACTAGTCTAGGGGTTGAACGACAGAAGAATCGGGGTTTGATTCCCGACAGAGCAAGAGATTTTCTTTCGCCTCCACAGCGTCAAGACCAGCTCTGGGGCCAGCCAAAAACCTTATCCNAAGGGTCCCACATTTTCTAGACAACTGGCTCAAAGATTGCGGTAAGGTTGTCAGCCTTACGCTCCGGCCTCGCTTTACTCCCCAGAAAAATTATTTATTTAATTCCTGGTACTCATTTCTGTTAGAGGCTGAGTGAACCCCAGGGCCATAGTGCGGCTGGAAGGATTAGGTCAACTGAAAAAATCCAATGACCTCATCGGTATTTGAACCCGAGTCCTTCCGGCTTGTAGCACTACGCCACCGCGTGCCAATCAAAGTGTCCGCGCGGTCTGAGGCATGAAATATCTTCGCCCGCTCAAACACTGGGGTCGTGGGTCCGAATCCCACTAGTGGCATGGATGTCTGTTTGTGCTTATTCTGATTTATGTTGTCCTGTAAAGGTAGCGGCCTTGTGTTCGGGCTGATCCCCCGCTCAAGAGTCCTACCGACTCTTATAAGATTAAAACTCTGAAACGAAACGGAGTTTCACAGATTCTCTATGCTCCATAGGGACCAACAGGAATTAATAACAACAGTCGTAAAAATATCGGCTCTGGGGCCCACTCAGCCTCCTATCCAATGGCTACCGGGGGCTCTTTCCCTAGGGGTAGAGTAGCCGGGGCTTGAAGCTGACCACTGACCTACAACTAGTGCTGGGTTCAAGTAAACGTGGGTTTATACCTCCACTCCCCCCCATACGTCTTCATGATCTAGTACTTAATTAGTTAAACACAGGAACAACTTGCCTTGCTAGTCAGTGGTTGGCACTGTCGTCCGCTTTGGGAAGTTCTGGGTTTGATTCCTGAACCGGAGAATGTCCATTCTGATTGATGTATATTATGATTTTTCTCGGTTCTCTCAGACTAATTCTGGGATAGTACTAATTCACTGGCTTTTGAAACTCAATTTATAATTCGTAATCCATTGCGCTGACCACGCGACACCCTCTATCCGCAAAAGTTAGCACTAACTTCGCCGACAAGCGGCGGTCGCTCGGTCGGTATAGTTAGTTTGCGGACTAAAAGCCACGGAGTTTAGTTTAGTTTAATTAACCTGTAAATTACAGTGTCAGCAGTTTCACGAAACGTATTGAGCAGGAAGCCATGAGCCTCCCCGGCAGGACTGCAAGGCACGATAACTGCGCATGGCAGCAAGGCGCAAGGCAAGCGTAGCGGTAGTGCTATAGACTCATATTCAGGAGGCGCTTGTTTCGAATCCCGTCCGGGACGCCAGCGAGCCTCATTGAGCACCCCTCCGCCCCACACACACATAAATTAAGGGCCAGTTCCTTGATTACGTCACAACGGCTGAACTAGGCACTCTCGGTCACACATTCGCGGGCCAGAACCGAGATACACGAGATCTCTCTCGTTTCAGGAGTACAGTGTTCAGCTAACGTTCAGGGAGCAGTGGACTGACGAGCGACTCAAGTTCAACAACTTTGGAGGTTAGTGCCACCCTCATACGTGCTTCTGCATACTTGTAGCATAAATGACATTGCGTGTGTGTGTGTGTGTGAGACGAAACGTCTGCCAGACTGCACGGCGTCTGGCGTCTGATCTCATAACATGCTCCTATCCACAGAGACGTGAGAACCTTAAATCTTGCGTATTTTCCGTCCCTTGTGTTTGTTCTTCCGTCTTCTTTCTGTTCTTACTTACTTCTTGCACTCCTTGTTCTCATCTCCTCCTGTCTCTTGGCTTGCTTCTCCCGTTTCTACAGATTTCATGGCTCTTTTCTTCTGGCTTTCCCACCAATATCCTACATGTATACCTCTTCTCCACCATTCGTGCTACATGCCCTGCCCACCTCATCCTCCTTAACTTGATCATTCTAATTATACTTGGAGAATAGTACAAGTTATGAAGCTCCTCATTATGCAGTTTTCTCCAACCTCCTGTCACTTCATCTCTCTTCGGTCCAAATATTCTCAACACCCTCAGTCTATGCTCCTCCCTTAATGTCAGAGACCAAGTTTCACATCCATACAGAATTTTCTTCCAATTCGCTTGTTCCATTTCCCATACTCTGCCAGGATATGCCCACCTCAGTAGAATGCCCTCCCCTCCACGAAATCGAGGTTCTCCCCACTCCCTCCATGCAGCTACTGGTGTCGTACCGTAAGCCTTCCAAATTCCCGCTGTCACCACGACGGCCACGGTGCAGTCTGGTAATGGCGAGTCTCCATGTTCAGTGCTGAAGAATAAGGCAATGGGTAAACCGACTGTCCTTGGGGACATGACGGCATGTACTCTGGTTGGTAGCCGGCAGCCATCTTCAGGGCAGAAGTTGCAGACTAACTACCTACCAAAAGTACAGAGTGTCACATCCCAGAAGACAGTGAACGCCATGATGACCGCGGTAAGACCTGCAGATCCAGACACAGAATAATGTGCATGTTCTCTGGTGCAGGTAAAATCAAATACTTGACACTGACGGATGCAGCGAGGGTTTGGATGCCAGATTTGTTCTTCGCCAATGAGAAGGAAGGCCACTTCCACAACATCATCATGCCAAACGTGTACATCCGCATACACCCCGATGGCTCTGTGCTGTACAGTATCCGGTGAGTGGCGGATGTGGCCTGGCTCGACAACTTCACAGGAGATCCCCGTGGAAGAATTGCTCTTCCTGCTCAGGACTATGGGACTTGCTGTTTCGGGAACGCAACACCGTGTAGTCCAGTAGGAAATCACCCACATTTTGGGGGGACATAATTCCTCCACATTCAGAAAAAAAATATAGGCTGGACAAGCAAGTAACCAGCAGAGTAATCTCTGCTTGTTGCTCACTCAGCTTATATTTTGACTCTGAAGTTGGAGACATTATGTTCCTCCGAAACTCGATGAACTATCAGACAGTACTGTCTACCACATAAATTTTAAAGGCGGTGTGTCTCTAATTTCGGCTGTCGTATCTAAGTTGCGTGCTCTTTACTCCACATGAGTATCCATCACCATTGTAATATACAGTCACGTGTTAGAGTGACTCTCGGCGGGGGTTTGGATTGGAGATTGAGTTTATTGACAACTTTAACGCACGACTCGTGACTACACTTAATTATAGCGCCATCTCCTCTCTTTAGTAGACCACACGCCTGCAGTGTCCTCACTAGTCGTTCCCCGGTAACGGCTTCTAACATTGGAGATTCTTCAGCTTCTGTGCTGAAACCATTCCCGCCTGGCCACCTTCTCTCGACTGAACTATTTTCAAAGTCAAAGTCAAAGCTACTTTACGACTGACGGTTTACCGCCAGTCAGTTCATCTTGGCATCAGGCCCCTTGAGGCCCACGACCAGAGATTTTTTCCAACTGAACTCTTGAATCAGTTGTCCTCCTTATAACCCCTTTGCACGGACTGAGTAGGAAACATCGTTTCCAACAATATCACATTTTTTTTCATGCATATCCGTTGCCTCGGGAACCTCTTTACCGAGCCGTTGCCTAGAGGCGGCTCTAATATATTTATTTATTTATTTATTTATTTATTTATTTATCTCGCGGCCTCCAATAGTAACGACCCTACAGGCTACAGTTTATTCTAAAACGTTTAACTCATTTAAATTCAGAATGTACGCTTCAATTAACTTCTGAGGAGAATTGAAAGACATTAGATAAAGAAAAACCGTCCTGGCATGTCAAATACAGTATTGATATAAGAATCATCATCCAGAAGAGTATATAGCATCTTTGTGATTGATTTTTAATGGTCTGCGATAAGATTGTTGTCCGTTATCTGTGCGTTTAACATGCATGAAATTAAGGGCATTCCTCCACTCCCATCTCCAGGTGATCGATCGCCATTAAACTGAGTGCCCGTTAGTTCAGCAACTTGCACACATTCCTATTATAACGTCAGATGATGGACAGAATTAAAACATTAGTTTGAAAAGTGTATCACACAGTCATTACAAAGCTTTAAACTTGTATTTTAGTGGGGAGGATTGGATTCAGTCAGTTGCCCAGATGAACTGCTGGATTGGAATTCAGAAGGTTCCAGATCTGGCAGTCATCACAGCCAGAAATATCAGAAATATAAACACTTCTGTTAGAATATTGACAACAAATTGCCTGGAGCTAACTACAGAAATGTTCTGCAAGTTAAGCGGACAATATCCAACATAAATATAGTCTTTCTAATTGTGTTTACACAAAACTTCTGTGCTCAATTCAAACCCAGAGATGTGTTTGCTGTTCACAGAATCTCCCTGACACTGGCATGTCCCATGAACTTGAAGCTGTATCCACTAGACCGACAGATCTGCTCACTGCGAATGGCCAGCTGTAAGTTACTCCATTGTCTCCAAAGTAGTGTTAATATTCAGATCTGGTGCATGGTTTATCCACTGCTGCCATAGACATCTTCTGCCCTATACAGTTATATCACTATCCAAATGGATGTGACAGTGTTGCAGCTAGAACCCATACCCCATGTCTATGTATAGCTACTTACTTACGGAGCTGAGCCCTTCTTGAGAAGCTGCCAATTGTGCAGCCACTCAAGAATTTCCCAGCATTTTGTGGAACCCGAAGGTTCATTACTGTGTTCACAAGAGCCCTCCACTGGTCCCTATCCTGAGCCTGATCAATCCAATTCATATCATCCCATTCTATCTCTCTAAGATCCATTTTAATATTGTTCACCCACCTATGCCTTGGTCTTCCCAGTGGTCTCTTTCCTTCTGGCTTTCCCACCAATATGCTATATGCATTCCTCACCTCCCCCATTCATGCTACATGCCCTGCCTACCTCATCCTCCTTGACTTGTCTATGTATATTCACAGAAAATAATATAAAAGTGAGATGGAAGTTTTGAAATCAAGACATTCTGGATTAGCACAGCAAGAAATCGTTTAGTTCTAATACATTGCATGAATGTAAGTTACATATTAGGTCGCAAACAAGTGTTCAGTGCATCGTGTCTATTCTGTGAGTACTGATAATATTTTGTGGGGAAAATTCAAGTCTAGTATACTGCATAAAGGAGAGTGTTTATAATTTGTTTGTGTGTGTTACTCATGGGAGATAATGTTAAATGACATTTACAATATATCGGACTGCAAAGGAGTACAGGAGAAAGCAGGTAGAGATTAATAGCACAAGAACTTGTACACAAATGATGAAAATTCCTATTGAATTCTCAATTACTGTTACACTGGTATATTAAAAAAAAAACTTTTATTCATATCTGTTGTGTACATGGAAAACAATTACAAATTAATGTAACAAGATGACAATGAAGTACATATATACTACATGATAAAACAATCTGAGTGTTATGTGCCCACTGGCCGTGAACATCCCCAGGGACATACAATTGCCTGTCTCCAAACTGCATGAGCAGTCACTGGTAGGGGATTTGTAACAGATGGCTGCTTCATCTTACATTGCAAGCTCTTCTGCACTTCTGTATAAACTCTCCAGCCTGAGCAAAGATGGCCTTCACTGCCACAAATCTGCACATGCAGACATTCTATCCCAGAGAAACCTGAAACTTCACACCATGTAGTGTAAAACAGATGTCTAAATATCAATTGTATACAGTCAAAATCATATTCACCAAACCTTCTTAAAAAGATAATTATTTAGCAGTTTTGTGCTTGCATTTAATACTTACAGCCTGATAGTGGATCCTTGGAACAAAAAATATCATTTTATATATGGTAAAATTGTTGTGCTGACTGGGAAAAATTAACTGATTGAATGATGGAAAGTGGATCAAGCTGACTCAGGATTATATCTGATATCAGACTCTGAAGTTAGTAGTGCTGAACCTACAGAAAGTTAGTTAGATAATGAAAGACTTCATTCTTCAAGGATAAAACACCATGTAGTCTGTTGAGTCAGTTGATGTTTCACAGGAACATTGTGCCTCCACATCAGGGCCAAAGAATAAGCTACAAAAGAAACCAGCAAGAAGCAGATAGCCAGAAAAACTTGGCTTATTTTGACCCTGAGATGGAGGCGACCTGTTCCTCCAAAACGTCGGCTGACTGACACAGCTTTATGTCACAGAAGACAGAACTCTTCATAACCACGACCCTGAAATCCTATGGTGGCATTGCTTTTATTGCAGATGGCTGGACAACAGATGATCTGGAATTTGTATGGAAAGATGGAGATCCTGTGCAGGTGGTGAAGAACCTCCACCTGCCGCGATTCACACTGGAAAAGTTCCTCACAGACTCATGTAACAGCAAGACTAACACAGGTAAAGGCCATCCACACTACGAACCAAGGTACATCATACCTTGTGTAGGCAACCTTTCGGAAGAAATTTCCTGTGTAAGTTTGAATTTCCCACTGGCATATGGATTCCTGAAGCATGTCCAATGATAACTTGAGGGTGTACTTGACTAACTGAGGATGATGAACCCTCTTTCCCATAGTAGGCAGGGTATACATGCAAATGAACCAATTACACTGTGTTACAACAAGCACAACTCGTCAGCTATTTATATGCTGACAATCTCTTGTTAACCCTTAAATTACCACATTTTTCAATTATTGGCATACTTTGCAGACCATACTTATTTTGAAAAAACTATACTCAATATATGAGGTTTTATGCGCATTAGGTGATTGAGACACTATGCTACAAGCCGCAAGGTGGCGGGTTCAATTCCCGTTGAAGTCGTTGAATTTTTTGAGCTTACCTATCCCTTCCAGCTGCACCGTGGCCCTGGGGTTGAATCAGCCTCTAAAAGAAATGAGTACCAGAAATATTCTTGGGGGTAAAAGTGCGGCCGGCACATAATGCTGACCCTACCACCATCTGTGAGCCAACTGTCTAGAAAATGTGGGAGCCTCGACGTCTCAGAACCCTAAGGGAATTCATGGCCTGTTATAGGGATAACGAATAAGGAGAGGACTGCATTTTTGTATATTATTAACATAGAATTTAGTACTCAGATGGTTAAGTGATTGTAAACGTTGGCTGCTTCATACGTATATCATGCACACTATGAAGCACTGGGGACTTCGTATGCTGTAACACCAGATCAAAACCATCCTTGATTATTTATACACAAATTAATTTAATAGACAGAAATGTAAACATCATCAGGAACTCGCTTAAGTTTTTCTGTTATAAGTGTTTGTACTATATTTACTGTACTGAAAGCATAAAGCATTGTGGCCTTTGCTGTTCTTGCAAAGTTTCATTAAATTATTTTAATTGGTTAAGAAGCTATTATTGTAAGCAGACATACAGACTGAAGCTTACTGTCTTCTGGAATGTGGCACTGTGTAGGCTGTAAAACATTTAAATACAATATTAGGGTAGAACAGATTAACATTAATATTACTATATCTACATCACGAGCCTCCAATAACAGTTTATTATATATACACAAAAGACAGAATACTCCAATTTGTCTGTGGAAACGCAACAAAATCACAAAAACCAACAACTGACTCGATGATGTAAAGCACCAATTGAAGAATTTTATTCTTGTTTTATACTATAATGTTTTGTTTCATATAATCTAATTTATTGTATTTTTACACCAAATATTTTAATATAATTAATATTATTGTATCAAATTTTTTTTATATTGCAGTTCAGTAGTTGTATATATGTTGACCATGTATTTGCCTGATGATGGCCTCTAATAGCCGAAACATGTAGCAAAGCCAAACTAGGCACTGACCTTGACATAGTTGTGTTGTGATGGTTTTAATAAAGAAGTTGTAGGGTAGAACACTTCTACATTGAAGATAGAGGCAGAAGGTAAATATCTACCAAACTACATTATGTCACATCCCAGAAGACAGTAATTTTCACTTTGACTATGGTGAGCACCTCAGAACTCACGCAGATTAAACCATAAGCCTGCTTCTCATTGTAAAATAAAACAAACAGACCAGAGATTTGAAATGTGTGATATCATGAAAATTGTTATGATTGACTTTGCTCCTGACCGTTGCATCCTATAGCATAAATAACAGTAAGATTAAATTCGGCCAATATTGGCTGAAACAGGTAAAGTCTTTATGTAATGACAGTAAATCCTCACTAATCCAGTTACAGTTAATCTGGATCAAAATATGAAAAATGCTGTTCACAGTTAAGTACTTATTTTAAAAGACACATGGCATTTAGGAAGGCAGATGAGTCACTTGTCTGTTCAGACAAAACTCGACGATTTCTTAAAACCTGCATTGTTACGTTCAGAAACAAGTGTAACTTCTAAGTCTTCTGTCGGATAAATATATTGTGTTCTTATAGCCCTTAAATTAAGGCTCTACAGTGACATTTTGTTATTTAATCATTTTCATCAGCACTACTTAAACCATTAAATTTTGCATTTATTTATGTTCTAAGATTTTTTTTTTGTGTTTAGGGCTACCTTTCGCTTCATTAATCCAGTTTATCGCCTAACCCAGACACCTCTCCCCCCTCAATTACTCCAGATTATCAAGGGTCTACTGTCTTAAGAACATTGTTGCATTTGATGGAATTTAATCCTGATTTTATTTATGGTCATTTTGTGAATGGCGCACATGATGATTCTGTTCTCGTTGCAGGAGAGTACAGCTGTCTGAAGGTGGATCTGCTCTTCAAACGAGAGTTCAGCTACTACCTCATCCAGATCTACATCCCCTGCTGCATGCTGGTCATTGTGTCATGGGTCTCCTTCTGGCTCGATCAGAATGCCATTCCCGCACGAGTGTCCCTCGGAGTGACCACACTCCTCACCATGGCGACCCAAACCTCTGGGATCAACGCCTCACTCCCGCCTGTTTCCTACACCAAGGCTATCGACGTTTGGACTGGTGTCTGCCTCACGTTTGTGTTCGGGGCACTGCTAGAGTTTGCGTTAGTTAACTACGCGTCGAGATCTGACATGCACCGGGAGAATATGAAGAAACAGAGGCGTCAGTGTGAGCTAGAGCATGCTGCATCTCTGGAAGCAGCGGCAGACCTCCTAGAGGATGGTGCTACCACATTTGCTATGGTGAGATGCCTGACACCAGTGCTAATGAGACTGGTTCACTTCCTGTTTTGGTTTCGTGTGTTTTGACTAACACGTTGGCCCCTCCTGTTTCATCGTTGTTTCCTTTTCGGTCCTTCAACGAGTCCGTGTCTCTCTGCATCATGGCGTTTGCTACGTATCTTCATTTCTTTGCTCCAAGAAACCTTTCTGTGGTTTCTGCACGACTAACATGAACATTTGAAGATCTTTTAATTAAACTCAAATCCTATGAAGCATCACTTCAACCAGACATAAACTTTTTACCTATTATTCTTCATATATATAAGACCGCCTCTGTGGTCTACTGGTCAGAGTTCCTGGCTACAGATCCAGAGTTCCCAGGTTAGATTACTGGCGCTACCAGATTTTCTGAGAAGTAGTGGGTCTTGAACGGGGTCCACTCAGCCTTGTGAGGATAATTGAGGAGCTATTTCAAGGAAATAGTGGCTCCGGTCTAGAAAACCGAAATTAACGGCCATGGGGATCCATTGCGCTGACCATTCGGCACCTTATATCCACAAAAGTTGGCACTAACTTTGCCAACAAGCGGTGGTCACTCAGTCAGTACAGTTCGCTTACAGGCTACAGGCCACAGAGTTGTTTTTTTTTCTTGTTCTTCATGTACCTTCATGCCTTTAGTTCATGCATTTTTTTCACATTGTGCATTATGACATATATAAAAAATTATAAGATTACAAACATGTTAGGGACAATTAATAGAATGTAGTAGCAGCATCCATATAAGCTATTAAGAATGAAAAGGGTTATTCTGATGAACTGCAGTGTACACCATATAAAATAAATAAGAAAAATACTCTGGCCACAAGAGGTCATCAAAGGAGCAGCAGCATAGATTCATGGACTGATGGGTGCTATATCACAGCTCAGGTAGATAGCCACCAGCTTCCCATCACAAAGGCCAAGAGCCAGTCCTAGGGCAGTTATTTACTTTTATATATCCTTTACTTAACATTGTTGAAAGTAGCCCAAAACATAGCACTAAACTGAAGGATGATTAGTGAATAATAAATAAGAAAAAATGGGGAATTATAGGTAATATGCTGGCATTTTCTTAGAGAATTATGAAAAGGGAACAGCTTGAAAGACCAAGAAAGAGACGAACATATAACTTCAAGGAGAACTTTAGGTAGAGGAGACCTTTCACAACCCTCCCGCTCTAGATTACTTACTTTCATTCACCGTTTTGTTCCAAATATTTTGGCACTTCTGTTCAAATTTCATATTTTTCACGGCACCTCATACTTCTATCGGCTTCTTTTGAGCACTCAACTATGCTGAAATAGTAGCAATGATCAGTGTTTCAGAAAGACTTGCTGTCCCATTTTCCAGGCTCAAAGTAACAGAAAAATTCTGTCAGAAGATTATTTCAGGAAGTTCCAAGTTCCTACTTGTCTCTTCATTTGGCACTGTCTGAGTCAAGTTGCCTGTTTATTTGTTTGTGTTGTGAGAAACAGGAATCATAACACACCATAGGCAGGATCCATCAACTGCTGATAGCTCTGGGTTATAAACTACAGTCAGAACATAAGTGCCTTATTGTCAGTTGTTACAATCCCTCCTCTGTATTTTACATTTGCATGTTTCAATTTCCAGCTGAGGATTTTACATAATTTTTCACACTACTTCATTGAAATTCACAGATAAGCACTGAGACAGATTTATTTTGAAGTGCATTAAGTTTTCATTATCTTCCCTCATTTTTTTGTTTCTTCTATGAACCTAGCAGCTAAAATGTGAAGGGAAACTGCCTTTTTTGTCATCATAATGAAGTAGAATTTTGTCAAATTAAATCCAAGATATATAAATGTGAAATTCTGAACAGGATATTCCTCTGGTTGTGCAGGCAACTGTTAGTCCATTCTCTTGTGCCTCTTCCACTGCTGAATAATTTTCAGCAATGTCTGTTTGTTCTTTATTCATATTACTTCTTCGTGAATCAGATTCACATACATTGTCCCTGAAAGTGGTATTCAAGCATATTCATTCAAGAGAGATTTCTCATGTTTCTTTAACAATATATACATTGAACAAGCTAATAAAACAAAATGTGGTCAAAATCTGAATTAGCCAAGTTCAAACTATTCATAAAAAATGATAAGAAAACTTCTGGGTAAGTCAGAAAAGTATCAAGTGAAATATAATTCATATAATAAGACCATAAATACTAGTAAAACTTGAATCAACTTGATTCAGCTGTAGCAGCAGTATAGCACTCAAGATTAAATTAATTACACTGTCACAACAGTAAAGAAATTAATGACATAACCTCATTATGTTCTCTAGTGCTTTTCTCCTTTGGCAAGTCCTAAAGATGTGCTGGATTCACTCTCATTATACAAAGGTTCTACTTCCATTGGTGTGTGATGTCACGTCCATCCTGAACTGCTGCTTCATTCTTATTTGACAGGCTCCGACCCTGCATGTGTTTTGTGCCGTTGTGTTCCCGATCTTGCTCCTGATTTTACTTCACTAACAAACTTCTAACACAACAATTGTTTATATTGTTTGGTGTTCTTGACTTGAAGAACATGCGAGTATTTTGCCAAATTTTATGGAAATATGTATATATTTTCTATTGGTTTTATATTTATTATTCCTGCATTAAGATAAAAAGGTAAAGCTATCCCCGTAAGAGGCTGTGAAGGCCCATAGGGTTGTGTGATATTGAGAACCCAAGATTTTTCTTAGGCAATCGGCTCAGAGGTGGCAGTAAAGTTGTCAGCCTTACATGCCAGCTGCCCTTTACCCTCCAGGAACATTACTGGTACTCAGAGTACAGAGTAGCAGTACTGGTACAGAGTCGTCCCCTGGGCCATAGTGCAGCTGGAAGGACTAGGTCAATTGAAAAAATCCAACTCATCGGGATTCAAACCCCCGACCTTCCAGCTTGTAGCATAGTATGTCAACCAACTATGCTACCAGATGCCCCACTATTATTCCTGCATTACAGAAGAGATGTCCTCTTGAAAATATGTCCATATCATAAAATTTGGTAATGTAAACTCTACATTTCCATTCATGCTCATGTTATAAGTGCATTCCTATGGACACTTATAGCCATAGCTGTAATAAAACACATTTTTTTCCACATCAGACATAATAATAGGTACACAGAATAAACTTAAAAAAATACTTCCAATTTAACTCAAAGTCTCTTTTGGAAGTTTTAAATAAGAGCAATATGCTGCATAATGTAAAATAAGATATGAATAACCATAATGCTACCAGCAGTCCCCTTTGTGCGACTGATGCAGGTGCATATGCTGGCCATCCTCAAGTTTTATAGCTTATTACCCCACAAACATGCATACTATGTATATTATGCATTTTAAATTTCAGAGTAAATAATCCTTTTAAAAATAATTGGTTGAATTTATTGTTTACATGTTTTTAAACAAATTTATTTTAATATTTCCTCCAAATTTATATAGAGGTAAACTTGTGGATCACATGAATTTTATGGTTTTACTCTGTCATTTCTGTAAGAGAAAAATTCTGTAACACAAAACTTCTCTAATACAGGTGTACACTGTAATTTGATGAAATTATTTGGCCTTGTTTCCTTCCAAGAATTTTTTTTTTACCAATATTTATTCTCCTTCCAGGATCAATGTAACAATATTATTTCCATCTCCTGGTGACTAAGAGTCTAGATTAATTTAGTTCTTTTTTTCCTTCTTTCCTTATTTTGCCTCTCTTTGTTGGCAGTGCAGATCTGGTAGGTTCAAATGCTGAAACCTAATTTTCACTTTGCAATGGTAGGTTCTGACATCTGTTCATCCCTTTGTCAGTATAGCTGCCCTATACACTTGTGCATCAGTTTATTGTAGTTTTACATATGACTGCATACACATATATGTACAAAATGAATTAATCTGTTCAACCACTTTGTTGTAATTTGACATAGAGATGAAATCTAGTGGATGCAATGGGTATATTTCAAGAACTATTTCCAGTCAGAGAAACATTGTGAGAAACTGCAGTATTTGGAAAAGGATACAGTAAGCTGTTTCCAAGAAGCCAGTGACACTGAAACTTTGTATCATATTCCACACATTTTCAGGATAAAAAACAAACTCCGTGGCTTTTAGTCCACAAGTGAACTATACCGACCGAGCACCGCTGCTTGTCGGCGAAATGAATGCCAACTTTTGCGGATAGAGGGTGTCGCTATTTTCAAGATCACATACATACATTTATAAATTTTTTCTTGGTTTTCCTCAGTTTTCCAGGTGAATGTTAAGACAGATATGCCATGACTGCCTGTTTTCAAATTGTTACCAGAACTTCATTCATGATGAGTTGCTGCATAACTTCTGCATTTGAAACGGTACAATAAGAGATCAATGTACTTCACTCTAGTTCTTAAGTTGTCCACAAGCTGCTGGATTCCCACACATCTTCTAGTTTGCAGCTCCCCTTCATTTTGTCTCTGCCGTCATCGGGAAAGCTTCCCAGCATGCATGCAATATGCATTTGTGGACCTACTCTGCATTCATCTGCCTCACAAGGCCTTTAGCTGGGTCCATGCGAAGTGAACAAGATGAGGTCAGGTACTTCCACATGAACCGTTGCTGGGCAAGTCCAGTTTCTCATCTGTTGCTACAAGAACAGCCTTCCTCTTGCCCTTCCACATGCCATGGATCAGGACAGGAATGCTCGTGCCAGAACGGCTTTCTTTTAGGGCTACCTTGTGTTCAAGACGCTTCCTTCCCCCGGCCGAGGGCATTACTGTCGACCGGGGGGGTGGGAGCGCAGCAAGACACCAGAGCAGCATCACCCCATTATCCCTTCTTCCAATCAGACACACACAGGGTGGCCGAGTGCTCGGGGTAAGATGGTATTCTGCAGAGTAAGGTAGGTGTGTCTCTTTTCACGACATACAGTCAATTTGTCCAAATGGTGACCACTGTCTCTGAAGGTATTGTGGCATGCAAATTGTGGACATTCTGCTAAAGAATGGAAATTAAATGTTTTAAAAAGAAATTAATCTTGGGTCAGAATATTGCATATAGCAATGTGTGATACTGCAACATGTGGTGAAACCGTCATCTGTTGCTCAGGTCAAATCAATTAAACTATCAGTGCTTGTTTATTTAGGCAAATGATGTTAGATATCCCCTATACAATTTCTATATCTTAAGAGCGATAAATTAATTTTCAAGTATTAATCGATCCTTTTACCAAATATAACAGAACAATGTAATCAACTTGTTTTTTTCATTTAGAGAAATTCATCAACTAAGAACTGTATAAAGCAATAATGTAAACAGAAATAATTAAAAACATAAGGAATGAAATGAACAAAAAACATTTCTTCTACTCGTATTAACTTTGATAATCACACTCAATATATTTTATATATACAGGTATTAATTACTCACAACTCTAGCAGATATTCCCAGCTTATCAGTTTATACTGTCTTGCAGCTATAAAAAGAGTGATAACCAGTTGAGTGAACTGGTTAATTGTGCATCTACTGCAAATAAAATTTAAATTTCGAATTTAAATGGTCAAAGTTTTATGAAACTAAGTCTTTCTAAGAGTTTTCGTTATGAAGACTGCTATCATCTTGATTATAACGCCATGTAGTCTAATAGATTTGGAGAATCAAACTGCTTCCATCTGCAGGTTTGAAGATATACTTCATAGACAGCCTGATGTTTTGAAGGAAAACATCATTCACCTTGTTACCTTCTTCTGGTGGATCCTCATTTTGCTTACTCCACAACCCTGAATGTAGGCAGTATGTTCTCTCTCTGAACCACATACAATTTCAACCTAGAAACCATACTCTTCATAGTCACTCCTGTGAGAACCTCAGATCAAACATTCTATCACATTGCATTGTGCTACAATCCTCTTTTTAGTCACTGCCCAAAGAACTTAAGATCTCACAGTTGTTCTTATATTGCACAGTGCCAACACCTCACCAATAACACTTAGTCTACACTCCATCAGCAATCACTAGTAATGATTAATCTTTGCAAATTTAGATTCTCAAGTTCATGAGAACAACATGCTGCTGTACAAGACACAGTCCACATATTGCTATGTCTCATTTCTGACATGAGCCTGTGAATAAAGATATATACTCTTTATGTACACAATTTTGCAATCATTGCATTTTGAGGGTAACCCCCAAGTGACATGAGACCACCCTGTTTGTTCTGATAGCCCCCAACCCTACTAGGACGTCTGCTCGCCAAGCTGCGGCTAAAGGCGAAGAGTCATACGACTGTAAGTATGTGAAGAATTCTGTGGCCATCACAGACATCACATGCTACAACTTGTTGGGTACTAGTGAGTGACTGTGCTCCCGGGCAGTCTTCCAGTTCTGGTAGTGATCAAATGGGGATCTCAGTAAATGTGGCATGCCCCTTTGTGTTGTTTGTGTGGAAAACTGAAGCATGCATTCACAAATCCTAGTATGTGAGCATGTGGTGAATGTGATACGTATTACTTTGGCAAGCATATTTCTTTTCTCTGCTCCTTTTGATATCCCCTTTCGGGATTTCAATATATACCCATTTGATTGACAAAAGCCTAAGCTTAGATATTAGTCTGTATTTTGTCACTAATTCCTTTGCTTTTAGTTGTCATCCCTTCGTGGAATGCTGCCCGAGGGTCACAGTATTTGTAAGCCTCATTTCAAACACGGAGCTGTTCTGTTTATGGTAGAACGCTTGTTGGTGTACACTATCTCTAGAGGAATATTGCACGACTTCCACTAGAGATTTCTATGGGCACTTGAGTTTTAGTTCTTGCAGTGGCCCTGAGTTCTCCTGGGCACTTGCCATGGTGACATATATTATATGGTATCCTGGTGTTACAGAAGCCTTTGGTTCGCCATCCAGGCGACGCACTCACCCTGGAGAAGGTGCGCCAGTGTGAGATTCACATGCAGCCCAAGAGGGACAACTGCTGTCGCACCTGGTTGTCCAAGTTCCCAACACGCTCGAAGAGGATAGATGTCATCTCCCGCATCACGTTTCCACTCGTGTTTGCTCTATTCAACCTTGTATACTGGTCGACGTACCTGTTCCGCGAGGAGGCTGAGGAGAACTGAGCCACCACGGTGCCTGGCACAAAGCAATGGTCCTCTCCTGTCCACCATAATCATTCAATCAACCAACTTGCCATTATTGGCATTTCTCAAATTGTGACACTCACAGAAAGTGGTTTGACTTTCATAAACAATTCTTGTATGATAGTTATGGTTCAGGGTACTTTATAGGCCTTTTATATACTAGACAAGGTATCAAGAGGAACGTGAACTACATGGGTATGTAGTAAGCTGTGAAATTGTGCTTCACAGTGCAAAAAGTGAATGGAAATTAGTAATTTACTAAAATGGATTAGATATTGTACGAAGACTGAAATTAATTCATATGAATTGTTGAGAGTAGTGATATTTGATACAGTTGCTTCAGAGACAGGTGTTGTTTGAAACGTAGTGGTGTTCAGTCCCACAAAACAAAAGGCTATTCTTTCATAATGGAGCACAGATGAGGCGTTTGTTTCAGAACTGTGAAAGCAAAACTTCCTCCACTGTGGTTCTTCACTGTCATTGCACTTATGTGATGACAACACAAACATGGCAGGATGAGTGTAGTGTGCAAATGTTGTCATTACAATAACGTCAGCCACCAGTCAAGTTCTGCGTCATGAGCTAGGTGAGGTTGCTATCACTCTTTTAACGGCTGATTTACGATTAATTTTCACCAGGACTCAGGAAATGGTACCATATGGGGAGAGTGCATTGTTTTGTTTGGTACAATACCGTTTACCTTGTATTTGTTTCAGATAGTGCAATATTACTTTATTCTGGGAGGAGCTATGAAACAAGCGCCAGCAGCATTACATTCAGTTACACAGATCTTGATATGTTTCTCACCCCTTACAAACATTCCATATTTAATTTTGGCCATTTGACCATGCTGTCAGTATGTAGAGTAATGTGGCATCAGATGGATATAGAAGGAAACAGTTGTGACCTAACTGAGGTACTAATCTACATTTGTCTTAAGGCACTGAGGAAAAGTGTGAAGAACCTCAGTTACAAATGCCAGCGTCCTGGCTGCATTTCAAACCAAGCACCTCCTGAATAAGGCTAATGTCACACGAGCGCTGTCTCACGTACGTGAATATTGGCGCACGTCATGGAGGCATACAAATATATGAGAGAAGTCACAGGGCACGGACGCGAAGAATGGCGTTGTCCGCGACACGGACGCGAAGAATGTAGCTCCGCGATCCCCCATGACGCAACGTGACCCGTCCGCGCTGAGATATGCATTTGTTTATGGTGGTTGTCACACGGGTGCGATAAATAGCGGACGGGAAGTTAGAATATCACGCTGTTTTGTTCAGGTCAGAATGGAAATAGAAATGGAGAAAATGATTTTATTAGGCAAAGTCAAAGTCACATTGCGACTGACGGTCAGTCAGTCAGTCAGTCTGTCTTGGTGTCGAGCCCCGACTGGGGCTCATGACCAGATTTTTTTTCTTCTTTATATGAAAGTTACTGTCCTGTTCATTTGGGGCGCCCTCTCT